GTTTTTATCCAACTACGCCTAACAACAAGAGGGACTGGCCATAGACTGTACACAAAAGATGGAGGTTACCACCATTTCTAGCTATGTTAGCACGCTTTATCATAAACTGTACAGCTGATACAGATACCTGCTAATTAGTGCTAATTAACATACTAATATCATCCAAGAATTTCATCTTTCAACACAGGTAACCTCGAGAGAGGAAGCAGTCTGCCAGAGTGACCACGCCCCTAACTTTAAGCATTAATGGAGTATAAATGTGAATGAACTGGGAAAAAATCTCCCCTATACAGTTTTTTTGAAGGGTGAAGCTTTCCAGAAGCCAAAACAGTTTTTTTGTAGCAGGTTGTAAACATGTTGGACGTTTTTGTCTATGGGAACTGACTCGTTTTTCAAGACAGCCTCAAGTGGACATTAGAGGAACTGCAGTTTTTGTGCACTTAAATGTTGTAGCCTCAGAAGCTGCTGCTAGGCTGCAACCAAAGATTTTTGTTAATAAACTGAATGCTTTAGTGTTTAAACTGAATTAGTAAGTATGAGTATGCAGTTAATCAACTAATAAACAATCATTTCAGGAATAAAGGTTTAGAGCAGCTCAACGGACCTGCTTATTTTACACAACAGTGGTAAAAACAGGTTGACTTTAATGCAGTCTCTAATACTTCCATCAGTATTTTAGGACCTCATGCACACATTTTGATAGGAACAATTCAGAGTTGGATGTATGTTGAGTCTTTAATTTGTCGTTTTTATTGATCACATACAGTGCACTCCGTGTGTCCTCCAGCTGTCGTGCTTTGTAATTCTTTTGTCTTCGTGAGGACCAGTTTGAGGTTTAGACCTTCATGTGAGCATGTTTTGTTCAGCTCTAGTGGAAGGAAGCAGCTGTAGGAAGCAGAAAGGCTCCTGTGCGTCAGGCAGGGGGAAACCAGGGTCAACCGGCCCGTCGCTCCTCTTCCTCAATTCTTCTTCTGAGGTTGCCAAGATTTCACAGCTTTTTTTTTTTTAACTGGGTTAGAATCGTTTTAGATGGTTAGAAATAGGTTTCGTTTTAAACCTTTTATTCATGCTGTACTTCTTAAACATCCCCTCATGTAGTTTGAAGGAAAAACTGTGTAAGAAGCCGCTACTTAGCTCAAATTTGCTACTGCCACTGTAAATAAGGTTTTGCGTTGAACCCATCATAGGTTTGCTCATCATTTTGCTCCTTTGCTGTTGGTCAGGGTTTTAAAGGTCACCAGCTTCATGACGTCCTCGCCTCCCCTGGCTCTGCCGACCTCACCGCAGACGTGGATTTCAACTATCTGCGGAGGATGGCGGGAGGAGGCGTGGCCTGTCTGGGCCCCGTCACTCAGAATACGTTCCTGAAGAACATGGGTATTGACACCAGGATGCAGGTGAGTCTTCATCACTGACAGGTGCCAATAAAAACAATCAGCATGATTTCTTTTAGTGTCATTTCCTCATTTGGTGGAAATCCAACACCAAAGAGTGTGACTCACTGCTCCTTTTTCTTAGTTTCAGGTTAAAATTTGAATACACAGACCTAGGGTGCATTCCCACCAGGTTTATGCAAAATTTCATTCACGAGTTTAAAAATATTACAACCTCTGCAGAAAAATGCTGTGCAGGGAAAAACTTTCAGCAGACATATTGTCGCCATTTCTGGGCAGGTGAAGCTGTTAGTTCAGTGAAACTTACTTTGTGACAGAACTAAAAAAAATGAGCACAAAGAAAAGTAAAACATCGTATGATTGTAAGATGATCCAAAAACATTTTAGTGTTTCTGAATGACACGCTGTGGCCCACAGTTAGAAAACCAGGATAGCAGACACGCACAGTATGCCCCGAGGCTTTAACCCCCGGTTGTTCTCCACAGATTCTGCTGAGGAACTGCAGGGACCCGTCCACCAGGAAGCAGCTTATCAGCAGCTACAACATGCTGACCAACCCCGCCAAGATGGGCGAGCGCTTCCATTTCTTCAGCCTGCTGCACCCCAGTCGCCTTGCCAAGCCCCAGAAACCACAGGGGCTGAAGCTTGAGAAGAAGAAGAGCCCGGCACCGCTGCCTGTGGCCGGATTCACCGAGCTCAAGTTCGCCTGAAAGAGACGACTTTGAAATTTTGGCTGCCGGGTCAGTAGTGAGTGTAAACAACTACACTGTCCCAAACTTCTTGAACTGACTGCACCACAAAGCAAACAAAGAGATTTACAGAGCTAAAAACGAGCAGACAGCTGCTTCATCACTTCCTTTAAGCCTGTGTGAAATCCAAAATGGGTGAGTCATTAATTAGATTCACTCCTGTAGAGTCATTATGAAGGAGGAAACTATCCAAAAAGGCCAAAACTGTTCTTTTGTAGCTGTAAACATGTTTGTTTCTGCTGTAAAGTTGAACTTTTTAATATGGAAGTCTATGGGGCCTTTTGGAGAAAGCCTCAAGTGGACATTAGAGCAACTGCAGTTTTTGGCACTTTAACTTGGGGAGTGTGAGAGTTTGGACATTACGAGATGTCTGTTGGTTTAAAAGATCATGTTCTGATGTGTTTTAACAAATATTTAAGGAAAACACATTTTGTAGTTTTATGACCTATAAATAAAAATTTCAAAACATTAAAACATTCGTGGACTGTTCTTGTCAGATTTGTCAGATTATGGACACCAGACACTGAATGACTGGATTAAACTGTGCAGCACTTCGGGTCATAGGTCATCTGACGTAGGAGGATCTCGTTCCATTGGTCAGCCGGCTGCCATCCTGCACATCTTGAAGCAGTTAGCTGAGCTCACTGTTGTGCAGCAGCCATTCACAACGAGCCCATCGCTCCTCCGGTAGAAATTAAAAGATTCGGTTACATGTGGTGGCGGTGGGGTCGCTGCTGCCAAAACAAGCAGCGGCCCTCCAGATGAGCGGCGATCGGGTTCAGGACTGGTAATTAAATGATCATTTCCAAACATCCTGCAGATCGCTATCAGCTTTTCCTCTGATTCATGGTGTCCCTCGCTGGAGAGTCTGACTAGTACATTTGGAAGGGATTGCATGATTTCATTAAACCTGTTTTGAGCGAAGACGTTTGAAACGTTTATCACCTTGAATCTGCCACCGGCATCTGAAATTTTAGAAACACTTGTGCTTTTTAAATCCTTGAGATTGGAGCAATTCACAATAGATACATCAGACTTTGTGTGTAGCTTAAACAGTCCACCCCAAATTCAAATTCATGCTACATCCAACCAAAATATGTATGTACACGTTGCCCAATTTTAGGGGGAACTTGTTCAGAAAAGACCTGCCTTCGATTCAGTGCAGTGGTTATTTAGAATTATTAAAATAGTAATTGAAAATTTAAAACAAAAAGCAGCAGCAGTAATGTGTATTGATCCAAAACTGATCCGTTCCTCAAGAAATCCACAAACCTCACTGTGAGCAGTTTATAAAAGATCTACACTGAAGATCTACAACCTTCATTAATATTTGTTCCACAGAACATTATTTAACTGAAACAAGTTAAAAATAAATGAATAAAATAAAGATTTGTGTTAGTCTTCATTAATTTGGTCAGATTTGGCATGGACACAGTCAAATCCCCCCCACATGAACTTCATGTGTTCTCTCCAGGTACTCGGGCTTCCTTCCACAGTCCAAAGACACGCAGTTAGTTGGGTTAGATCACTTGGTGATTCTAAGTTGGTTTGAATGGCGGTCAGTCCCTCTGTGTGTTAGGCCTGTGACCTGTCCAGAGTGTACCCCGCCTCTCACCCACCATAATTATGGTCAATTATTAAACCCACACTACAATTTTTCAAAATAAAAACAAACAAACCAAAAAAAGGCCCAATTATTTGGTTTTTTTTAAAAACATTTTGCCCACATAATTTGTTTCCATCAGTTTCATCTATGTGTGCAGGGTCACAAGGTTTCAGCTGTCACAGGGTGAGACGTGGAACACCTGTCCAGGTCATTAGTTAATCACAGGACTAACCTACAGTCAGTCAGAGCAATCAGTAAACCTAACACGCATGTCTTTGGACTGTGAGAGGAACACAGGCACAGGGAGAACATGCAAACTTGGCTAGGCTGTCGAAGTGTGACAAGAGTGCAAGTAGTCCTCGAGTAAAACACTGCTGGTGCCCGATGAAGGGTTTAAATCACTTCCTATGACTGATAAATAAAGGCAAAGTTTTTGTCTTGAGAGTGCGCAAAGCAAATGCCAGAAAAACTCAAACTCTATGGAGTAAGTCAAGACCTGTGAAGACGTCCGCCTGTTTTTTCCACAGTGCTGGAGCCTCATCTAGAAGACGACTGGCACAGGAACAACAATGACGACTCACCCGCATTTTGCCGTTCATCTTTAATATTTTCATCCACGTGACAAAACATTTCTTGCAAAAATATAAAACATGTGAAATAAATTCTCAGGCTGGAGTCAGATCGGGATTGACGAACACGTTAGAGTTCAGAAAGACAAAGGAGACAATAGCAGCTCGATTCTTCTCAGCTCTTCCAGAGTTTCTGAAAATAACTCACGTTTGTTCCTCTGCAAAAGTTTCTGCCATACAGCCACATTATTACAGGTCGGAGACAGTGATGCATGTCCCACTTAACTTTAATATAACGTCCGCATCTGTCACCAGCTAAAATAAGTCTGTTAGCAAAAGAGTTTCTTTAAATAGAAAAACTAACCAACTCTACTAATAACTAATGGTACATAAAAAATATTTCTTATTTGAGTCCAGGAAGTGTTCATTAAATAAACTTCATACTTAAGAAGCATTGTTAGACGCAGGGCCAGCCTCAAGTGACCTTTAGAGGAACTGCAGTCTTGGAACATAGCATTGATATTGTTTTGATGCTTTAAAGGCCAAATCTGTTCTCAAAACTAGTCAGATAAAAGTAATTTAATCTGCATTTAATAAATGTTTGGTTGACTATTTGGCCAACATTCATTTTCTAATTTTAAGATTGTAATTGCAGCCTCGAGGGAGGCTAACATGGCTTCAAACTTTTGCAGATGATCAAACTGAGACTTACTGACAGTGAAATTCTCATGAAAAAAAAAATTTCCCAATAGTGCAAAGACATCCCAACAAGAACAAAAACTACAGTCGGGAGAGAGCGCTTGTTTCTCGTGAGTTCCAGTTAGTCACAAAAGACGACATTGACATCTACACAGCTTTTTAGAACTAAAATGTAACGGCCACCTGCTAAAACTGTGCTATCGAGCTGAAAAAGTGAGTTGAGTCTCTGGTTTGGTTTTGGATTAGCCCTTCCACGACTCTGCTGGCAGTGCTGACGTATGTTGAAGCCCCAAGTTGAATTCTGGGGAGAAAAAACACGATGCTTCCGTGTTTCGGCTCTTAGCGTCCGTTTGTTTATGGCTTTGTAGAAACGAAAAAGAAACTGGAAAAAGATAAAATATTTGAAAAGTTTTAATTCTCTGGACCTGAATTATCGCTGCAGTGAGCTGCCTGATCAGCGTGTCCTCATGGGTCATCACACGCCGTCATGGGGGAAAGCCTGCGGCCTGCACAGTGGCGCTTCTGTCAACAGTTTCCTGGGTTTGAGGCTAACCCTCTTAAGAAAAGTCAACATGGCCAAGGCCTCTAGGGGTCCTCCTCCATGTCATCCAGGTTGGGCGACATGATGAAGTGTTTGGGGTAGTGCAAGCCTCTCTCGTCAGCGTATTCCTCCCATCGGGCATCGTCGCTTTCGTGAGTGATGTATCGCTCACCTCGCCGTGTCTCGAACTCCCTGAGGTCCAGCCAGGTCTGGTAGTCCTGGACGACAATGACAACATTAAACATTTTTTTTTATGCTCAGCTTTCACTCCATCTTTGACTGCTACAGGAGCTTTGCATGATTCATTGCTCAAAATAATCCTTATTTATGTTAGACTGGACCAGTTCATCCTCCATTTGAAACAAGCCATTTTAGCTCTTCCCCCCTATTAAGCCAACTTTCTTCTGATTGGTTGTCCCTTGGCTGTGTTACATGACCATAATAGGGAAATCTGCTAAGAAGCATGTCTATAAGCCTGAGAAAATCTATTGTTGTATATTTGATATAGAGGTCAACTGTCCCTTTAAATCAGTGATTTAAGGTATGATTTGATCATTTAAAAACAGAGTTAAAATAATAACTTTATGTCCTGCATCACAGACTGTACACAAAAGATGGACACAGCTTCCAAGTCGAAAACATAAATATGAAGCCAACGTGAATCTCCATTCATTCTAATGGCCAGCAGGGGGCGACTCCTGTGGTTACACAAAGACTAGTGAATGAGAAACCAGCCTTTGCCCTTCTTGCTCTATGACCTCATTACATTTTTTCCTAAAGGGGGGAATAAATGTTTTACTTTCATTAAATCTTTATTTACTTTAATAACGCTCATGCGATACTGCAGACTCTTCTAAGGAAAGCAGTTTGGTTACCTGCAGCCAGGGGTGGCTCAGCGACTTGTCCACGCTGTAGCGCTTCCTCATCTTCACCTGCAGCAGGTTATTAATCAGGTCTTTGGCTGTCGGAGAAGAATAGTCAAGTGGCGTTAAAACACACAAATTGTTACAAATGTGAACATGAATGAACCCAAGTCCAGATGTTCCCTTACCCTCTTCTGAGATCTCCTTCCAGGGGTTGGCTGGGTACATGAAGGCGGCATTCTGGATCTGGTCATTGATGTCCTCGTCCTCATTGAAGGGAAACGTCCCGCTCAGACTGACGTAGACGATGACGCCGACCGACCACATGTCCAGAGATCGGTTGTAGCCTTTGCTGCGGAGCACCTCGGGCGCCAAGTAGGCCGGAGTGCCAACCACTGAGCGGCGGAACGACTTCTCCCCGATGATACGAGCAAAACCAAAGTCGCAGAGCTTCACCTGGTTGAGAGGGGGGAAAAATGCAGCATTAATCCACTGGCTCTCTCGTGAGTTCCTCGTCCTTCTAATTTATAATTAAACAGAAGGTAGCTGTGGCGGCGACTATCGTTCTGCTCTGGACCCTTGGTGAGATCGGTACTATGAAAACTTCTGGTTCTTGTGGTCTGCAGTGCACTGGTGTGGAGTACTGTCAGACCCAAAGACAAGGCTCCCTGGAAAGCAGCTGAATGACATCAAGGACCAGCGCAATAGCAACCAAGTTCCAACCAATTGCAACACCTGGGTGAGCTGCCTCAGTGTGGGAAAGTGCATTTGTACTAACCTGAGGAAACGGCTCTGCAGAGGCCAGCAGGACGTTCTCAGGCTTCAGATCACAGTGGACGATGTTCTTGAAGTGAAGATGCCTCAGGGCTACCAGGATCTGCAGACCCAACAGTCACAAACTGAATGACTCCTATCAGAGTCCTATCAGACATCCACATAAACCCTGCCTAAGAAAACAGACAAAAAAGTGTCTCCTTCCGCCTGAGCTTTCACGTTCTCACCTGTGTAACCAGGAACTTGGTGAGCCGTTCGGGTAGCCGGCTCTTCTCGCTGGATAAAATCATCTCCAGCATGTCGCCGTGAAGCTTCTCCATGACCACAAACACCTGCTCGGGCGTCTCAAACATGCACTCCAGGTTAACAATCCCCGGATGGTGGAGG